TTCAGAAAAAATAATTATTGAAAATTTGTTTCCAACGTCAAATACATACTTTTTATTTTTGATATTCTGTAGGTATGAAGTTACATTTATACATTTTTTAACAAATAAACACGTTTAATAGCAACTTTCCTTCTTAATGGAGAGGGTTGAGAAATTGATAGAGAAATGTTGGGGTAATATGGGGTATATGGGGCGTCCTCGCAAGTTAAAGGTAGTTTATTTATAATACATTAAGAACTATATGTAATCCAGAATCTTACTATTACTTGATGAAACGTAACAAACAACATTTCTAGCGCATTTTAAACGATTTTATATGCCATAAACAAGACATCGATGATTTTTCTCAAACATAGTACTAGAGAGGGGTTAACAATTCGGAGGGTCGCGAATGTGCGCAGTTATTTGGTAATCGCCTGAAACAGAGTTTGCCAGCAGGTGGAGAAATGACGTCAGGGCAGTGATCACCTCCGGGAGAACGGTCTTGGAGAGGCAGTGTGAGCCAAGGGGGAGGGATAAATCGACAGCCTTGGCAGTGGGCAATTGCCTGTGTTTCAGGCAACATGAGAGCCCATTTACCCCCGTTAATTTTCTATCTATTTGAGAAGCAATGTTTCTCTTTGTAGATACCGTAACAATGGCGAAGTGTTTAGTGTGTTCGAAAGAATTGCAGTATGTTAAACAATTTAATCTACAGAGGCATTCCATTCCGCAGCTTTGCTACCCAGAGAAACCCGCGAGATGAAAATAATTTCTGATGATTGTCAGAGAGCCTGCAATCACGTGATGAGTATATGATTTTGTAGATGGAAGATTAGGTAAAATGTACTGAAAATTTCGAGTATTTTTCACATTCTCAACAAAACTGTACATGAAATAATGAAGCCTTGAGTCAAAATTGTTCCCGTGACCTCTCCCGGTTATCTACTTGTTTTTGTTAACATTAATGATTGCTTCGGGACGAACTAAAATTGTAGTATTTTATAGTCGTAGCACTGTATAAAATATTATTGTACTAGAATGCTAAAATTGTCTTCTTCAAAAACGTTATGTATTAGAAGAATAGAAGTGGAATTAAAGAACCTGGTGACTATAAGCAGAGTCTGATATAGCTTTGAACTATGTAATAACAATAGGGAAGAAAATATAAACTTTCTTTGTCCCAGAAAGAAAAATATATTGTTTTGATAGTATTTTTCTCCTGAATTGAAATATGATATCGGTTTTTTTCTATCTCGCAAGGTTTCCGAGAGACAGCCATTTCAAAACGTTTTTTTCAAACATTTTAATACTCTCTGCATTCCTAACTACACAACATTCAAACATTCCGACTCCCCTATAAAGTAGAAAATGACGATTTTCGGCTACATTTTGTCTGTGGAGCATTCCTCTCAAAAGACCAACAATAATCGGCCAGCATACTAGGGCTCCATTTGCCTTGATATCTCTTTTCCATTGGTTCATTCAATTCATCCAGTTATCATTCATTTGTGATTAGGACCTTAGCCCGAGTCACACTGCACACGCGATGGATACACGTGCTTCAGCAACCCCATGTGGAGTTGGGTGTGATGGCTTAAAATGAGAATTTACTTCATAATTATTAGTAATATTTATTAGATATTTTGGCGTTTTATTCGTTCTTAGTTTATAAATTTTTTGTTTTTGTTTGTGTAGTGTTGAGTAATTACTGAATCAATTTATTGAAATGTTTGTTGTCTTCGTGCACTGTTCATTTGTTTTTATACTCTAGTACTGATGAAGAAATTAAATATTTCGAAATGTTGGCACGATTAATGGTTTCTTTACCCCTCCACGACCATTCCCGTGAACCAATTTTATTTTATTATTCATCAATGGTCCTGATTCTACAAAGATCTATTTTACATTAGAGAATTTTAAAAGTTTGTTCCTTGTGTTGTTGCCATAGCACACATTTTCCCCTACTATCTCCGCGTACGCATACGAGACCTCTGGAATGTTAAACACCACACTCTTCCTTATCCTTCCATTTCAATTCTTAGATGGTTGTTAACGAAACGTATTTATTAGTTTAAAAACGTAGGAAGATAACTTCAAATGTATTGATACAATATCAAATAATAATAAAAAACATGCAATGAATGTAAAAAGAAATTTTCACTAAAGATGTATTTAGTATTATCGAGAGATTTCTTGGAACAACTTACAACACTTCCTTAAATATGTTTGAAGTAATTATTCAATATTCATTGCCAGTTTGCTTTTCACTTTTCGTGATAGTCACAAAAACATTTAAATTATTTTTACTCTTGAGACATATACGTGACTTGAAAGCTTCACCGAGTCACTTCTGATAACGAAAATACTGGTACGAGTAAAAACGAATCTTGAATTAATAATTGTGCAAAGAAACCTCGTCAGTCTGCACAAACCACGGTGTACCCAGAAAGCATAAATAGTATAAGATGGAGAAATCTAAGCCTTCTAAGCACGGCGTCACGAAAATAGGTACCATCACCAAGGGTTGAAATACTCGTATTGGTGTCATTTCGATAAGCGCCGAACCAGCAAAAATTCAATGGAATATTGAATTTCTTGTCCTGTATATTATAATGTAGGGAACGTTTCTTGGAGGCCATAAGTCTTAATATTTTAGTTTCTAAGACCCTAGAACGTAAGATTTAGAAGTTATTTAACGGTATAGCTGACTAAGTGCTGCGGGTTGCATTTGACATGAATATTTGATTGAGTTTCTTTTTAAAACAAATCCGTCATATTTTTAGAGTCAAAGTGCAATTCATAATGTTTTCGTACTTTGCTATCTTTGGAGACCTCATTTACAAAGATCAGTTGTGCGTGAAAGCTGCAAAAGGTATGTATACTACTGAAATAATATAAGAGACAATCAGTAAATCCTTCATGTTGTATTATAGTTTCCAAAAGGATTGAATTATTGCAATGCTCAATCGGTTTTGTTGTTGCCATGTTACATACATGATGGGTGTTGCGTTGAAAAAAGGGAAGTTATATCCGCTGCCAGGCAACAATTTGCAGACAAGAGTCACGGAGAAAAACATGATGTGGTGGTTTACATTTTTAAATTTTTTCGCATTTTACCCTGCTATGTTCATGGCAAATAATGGCCCAGCATCCAAGAGGTTTCAGTTTCGCATTGTTGGAGGCTCTGAAACTAATATTGAAACGTACCCATTTATGGTTAGTCCATCAGCAAATTTACTTCCAGAATTTAAAACGTTCATGTTGTGAATTCTACTTCATAGAGTACGAGACCAACTATTAGAATAATATTTCAGGAATTATATATTTCAACATAGATTTCGTATTCGGGAAAACAAGTCTTTGAAATGAAAAACAACTACTTATCCTTTAACTGGTTACATGCGGTTTCTGAGATTGCTGAGCAAAAATAAACGCATAGCCCTCTCTTCTGATATGTCACAGTAAGTTTTTGTTTACAGTACCTTCTTATCTCTTTCTTTATTGCAATCTCACTCGGTGCTGTGATAGCCATTCAATGTTTCGGGTCAGTTTCGGAGCGGTCCCACACATCAACAGTAGCAGATTTTTTCTTGCCACGGCGAAGATGTGTGAATGCCCTGGACGATCTCGGAATGCCTTTCCCAAGGATCCTACTTTCGATGGTACTGCTATTCAATGATGGGAATTCCGACTGGTATTGACTGAAGTCGACGGTATGGAGTGGATGATACACGCTACAAATGCGGAGAAGAAATTACACAAATAACGAACTCATGAAATAGAAGGGAAGTATAAATATTAGAAGAAATAGTTGCAAAGGAGAAGGAAAAGAAGAAAATTTCGTTAATAGCATACACTTTGTTTCTTAATAAGCATACACAAACGGATCTAGAAATATTTTCAATAAAACAGTTGAATTATGCAGTGCACAATTTTTATTAATGGATAATTTTCATTTTACATTGAATTATCGTATTGAAATGAAAATTTCGTAATATAGGGTTTAACATTTCAGATCCATTCTAAACGTTCTTAGATAATTAACCGCGAAGAAGTAAAAGTATGAAACGATTACTACCCAGAAATTTAATCATAGAGTAATCCTTATTTATTTTATTTTCATGTACACGTGAATTATTAATAAACCTTTTTATTTTCTTGTTTATTATACCACTGTTTATAAGAATAGAAATTGTCATGTCAACATTAAATGAAACACAGAGAATAATCAGTGTAAAACTCACGGACCGCACGTAACAGATTTTAATTTAATTTAATTCATGCCTTATTTTACGTGGCGAGACTCGGGCCATGAGGCTCGCTCTTCCGTCTGACCCCGCAAATTTCGCTACGTTTGATTCACCAACTAGCAGAGAAAGGAGGCATTTCTTGGGTGAGAAACAGGCGATCAATTTAGCTCGGAGGCGTCATTTAGGCTTGCTTAGATCTTTTACATGCAAGTAAATCTACTAACATGGAACAGCCGGCTTTACTTCCCCTCCGAAGGAAGGCGTACGAAGGATTTTTTCGCCCTTAAAAATCCACGGCTTCGATCGGGAACCCGCAAATTGGGTTCAACAGTCCGGTACGCTAACCGTTACACCATCGCCGCGCACAGTTAACAGAAGTTCGAAAGCATGTCACCAGTTAATGAAGATTAGTGTGCTAATGTTTCCTCCTATAAATGAATAGCAGTGTATCAGGTCAAGGCTGAGGATAAATATACTGTATGTGAAAAGAGGAAAGAAGGAAACTATGTAATTCCATCACGCGGCGGAAATGAGAAACTAGTGGCAGGTAAACAAACGTATCACATGTGCGTGGATAATTGCTTTTTCCGAGTGGGCCTTTAGAGCTCCCTGGAACCAAGACCAACTACAATGGTATTTGGTCATGCTATAATTATCTAATGTTGCTTGCCACCTGGTATGCGATAGATATCCCTATTTTGAAGTATAGTCAGTCAATACTGTACAGAGACATTGATTACCAACGTAATTTGAACATACCGTTTTCAGGTATGTATTCTGAAGAACGGCTATCATCACTGTGGAGGAACGCTTTTTGCACCTGATACGGTGCTGACGGCTTCTCATTGCGTGTACGATCACGATACATGGACAAAATCCCAGTAAGTTTGATAGATTAACGGAAAGAAATTAAAATTATTGTGAACAAACACAAAGTAACTCAAGATTGAAAATTCAAGAGTGTGTTCAGTTCTTAAATAATTAAAAAACTTGCACTATCCTAACATTTTTGGTAAGATTATTCGCTCTTTTAAATTATTGTTGTATGCGGAGATTTCAATATTGATGATTTGAGAATCTCACGAAAAAGAGCAATTTTCTAATTAACTTCGTTCTTTTAGTTCAGATATTACAGTGAGTGAACACACACATTTAAAGCACAAAAAGCAATAGGTCAAATTAAAGAAAACAAAATCACAACTAGATATCAAATAATAACAAATAATCTAGGTTACACTGACATCAATGCACAAATCCTTATAATTACTAATAACATGAAAACTGCTACAGATATAAATAATAATGCAGGCATATGCAGAGCTCACTAAAGCTAACATACGATTATTTACGGATTACTTGCTGAAGGAATGGAAAGTAGTTTATAACGCTATTTTCATAAATGAAAAATATAATGTATTTTTCTCAAAGCTTTCATTTTCTTTAACGCGTGTTTTCCTCGTAAAAGATAAAATTAAACTTTTCACGGAAAAGTAATACTTGAAACACTCAAGAAATTAGAGCATCGTGCAGAAACAAACTTTATTTCTAAACAGCAAAACGTATCTCCCGGTTTTCATGTGTACTTCCGAGAATACAAAACAATTTTAAGAAAATTAATACTTCAGGAAAAATAATGAAAAATAATCAAGATATTTTGAAAGCTAAACCCAACTAAAACAACGTGGAATTCTCTAAAAAATGCGATCACATCATATCGATACTTTATGAATTTAAAGGATAATAAACTATCTGACCCCGCGAAAATGTTTGCAAACGCTGCAATTTTAACTCAGGGTTTTTGGTATAGCATCTACTTAATTAATGATTACATCAACCAGGTGAGTCAACCTAACAACCTGCAGATGCATGAAAAAAATGAGTATTTTCAATTTTCTAAACGTCAGAAGTTTGTATGAAAAACAAATCAGTCGATAAAAAAGTATTAACGGAAAGTTAGCAGATTAAAAAAATTGAATTGGTTTAAAATTTTTACCATTATTATGTTGTGGTCGTCGTAATGAATTAATGATAGAAAGCATTATCAACAAAATAAGTAGTAGTATATTTAAGGGTAAAAGTATATCTGTAAAAATACTCTGTACTGAAAGGGTTTTCTGTGCTTTTTTATGAAACTAATCTTCAGGATGTCCGTTTTGACAATATACAGCCATTGTTCTAAAATTTTTCAACAGATTTCTAATCCACGTTCTGCTTCTCTCATAGCAAGATGACTCTGCATCCAGCCACGTTGTTGTCAGTGATAATAGGCTCCTCTTACTCCAAGCCCGAGAAAGCCAAAGGCGCCACATTCCGGAATGTCAGCCAGGTCACTGGGCATGCGGCATTCGATTTCAACACTTACCAAAATGATATTGCCCTTCTCAAGGTAATCGCTTCGAAACTTATCTAAAGCATATGTCGTTATTGCTTGTTCGCACGTTCATAATATACACAGTGCATCATAAAATAGTTATATTGTGAAATGTGATAAACAATGATATATTAACCTGCCATTACTTGCGTGTTTGATTTTATTTAACAACTGTTTAAGTCCGTATTTTTGTTTTATTATGAATCAAATTCGTGCATTAATATTACGAGATATTTGTTGTGGAGTTCTAAAACGTGTATGATGTAATAATGAATAATTGATGACATGCAGTCTCATAATTTTTGTATATAATAAACGCTCAAATGAAAATCACAGTCATAAAGTGTTATGTAAAGCATAACAAAAGTGTTATGTAAAGCAAATTTAATTACAAGAATACAATTAATGCAATAAACAATACAATTTCATCACATTGAAACATACAAGAACATCCAATACCAAAATAAGCTTCCTCAGAATTACATTCATTGCAAACAGTCGTTATGTCCTTTACAGTGGGATTTGGTGAAAATAATACAACAATACAGCGTGAATTTTCATGCGCACATGTAATTTCACAATACACCCCTTTAACACCTCCTCCAAACCTTAACAATATCATACACAAATAATCATCCATTCTCATCTCACCATAAACTTGTTGTTGTTGTTGTTGTTGTGATTTTAACACCTGAGCATGATACTCAATCAACTTAGGAAAATTTCTAAGCATTATGTATATGTATTCCCAACTCTGAAGGACCACCTGGTGAAGCAGATACAAATACATTTAAAAAAGATTGTTATTTCCATGTGTTGAAAGATGTCAATGTTATTTAAGTAAATTCAGAAATGTTACATTTTTTCTAACAGCGCGAGTAACGGCGGGTTGAATGTAAAATATAAGAGAAGTACTTCCTGTGCCTACATATAAATGTAATATAATATGAAATTCGTTCGTACACCTGTTTTTGGGTGTATCGACTCAATCTAAAAAAAACACATAAATATTAACTGAAACGTTTGTAGTTGTGAGAAATTGCCTTCTCAATTCCCAAAAATCAAACAGAAATATCTTCTACGAAAATTGACACAGGAATATATTTGTGGAAGACGTGAGTATACTTAGTTTGAAAAATCTACATGCGATTGTACTACTAAACTATTTGTTCTGGGACAAAATTGATTTAAGACTCTAGAATTTGCATTACATCATTTCCGTTAGAACTTCACCGGAAAGAAATGTGCTTTTCTGAATATATATATCATTTATAGCACTTATTTTAAACAGTTAAAAAAGGGATTTCATACTAATTAAATGGATTTAAAAAATAAGTATTTTATGTGTAACGCTTCAAGAACCCCGATATAATCAGATTTATGAAATCAATTTCTAAACGTTTATGTACAAGTAGTACTAGCAGAACTCTGCAGATGTTGACCTGTTTCTTTTTCTCACTCTTTGTTTCTCTCATTTCTCCTCTCTCTTTCTATTCTTCTTTCCCATCTTCCCTTTTGACTCTCTCTACCTCTCTCTCCCTTTTGACTCTCTCTACCTCTCTCTCCCTTTTGACTCTCTCTACCCCTCTCTCTCCCTTTTGACTCTCTCTACCCCTCTCTCTCCCTTTTGACTCTACCTCTCTCTCTCCCTCCCTTTTGACTCTCTCTACCTCTCTCTCTATCTCTCTCTCTCCCTTTTGACTCTCTCTACCTCTCTCTATCTCTCTCTCTCCCTTTTGACTCTCTCTACCTCTCTCTTTATCTCTCTCTCTCCCTTTTGACTCTCTCTACCTTTCTCTCTCCCTTTTGACTCTCTCTACCTCTCTCTCTCCCTTTTGACTCGCTCTACCTCTCTCTCTCCATCCCTTTTGACTCTCTCTACCCCTCTCTCTCTCCCCCCTCTTTTACTCCCTCTTTTTCAATTTTTTTTCCTTTTCTGGTTTCTCAATTTTTTCTCTTTTATATTGTTGTAAATGGTGGGGCAAATAACATATTTCATTTGTTAGTATTTATGTAACATTTACATTTGTTAGTATTTTATGTAATTTTGAAGATATTCACACAACTTTGATTTTTAAATGGAAGTATATATTTTTTCTATAGCTTTTTTAAGTCCTTTAAAAGTGAAATGCAAGGATATAAATATTGTTAATATTCAAAAAGTATTTTTTTGCAATTAGGACTTGGTAAAAGCCATGATGCAGCGCGTAGGGACAGCTGACTTTGCTGACATTGTATACGAGAGTCGACGCACCTTATCGGAAAATTTCCCCGATTACAAATTTTTATGGTCTTACTGGCAATGCTAATGACCTCGGTTTTAGACTATCACAAGTTGTACTTGCGCAAGAAAGAAGGAGTGTTCGAAATCACATTGATTTCAGCGGAGATGTGTATCTAAATACCTTTATTAAATTATAATTTTTGGAGCCTATCATATTTCCGGGAAAGAGAAAAAAAACACGTGGACAGTGAGGAATAATTCTTAATTTTAGGGGAAATCGTTCGCGGATGTGGAGCATGTCAAACGAGTACTTTCTTAACTTGTATTTCTTTGTTTATTTTGTATATACAAGCACCGTTTATTTTATTTAATTGTCTTCTGGAATCATTCCTTTCTCACACCTTAAAGACCACCACGAGAGTCGCAGATAAAATCAAGCTCTTCCTAGAGTATTGGCTAGCGTACCCCCACATTAGGTACACGTATATAAAGGCGAGGTTGGACGTTAGAGTACATAGATTTGTAATATATTTTAAATGAAGTAATTACAAAAGGACTGTTGATGAAAACCAAATAAGTTCTCGAATTGTTGGGCAAAAATATTTAGAAGAACTTTTTAAATTGAAATAACTTCCCTTTTTTATTAAAATAAATTGGACTGTGTTATACATTGAAAAAGCGAAACAACGATTAATATGCCATAAGAATCAAATTCCCTTGCATTGGTGTTTTCATTAATATATCTTATTCTTTCACAGCTCTCTAGCCCAGTGACTTATTCAGCGACTATCCAGCCAGTGAAGCTAACCTCCAAAATCCCACCAGAAGGCACTGTATGCACAGCTATTGGATGGGGAATATCAAAGCCAATTGGCGAGAAAGATCCTATCACTGGAACTTCCGTAATTATCCAATATTATTAAATACAAATGACTTTATTAAGATTTGGCTGAAACCAGTCGCGGTTATTGACTCCATTATTAGACTTCCCTACTCTTCATTTATGAAATCTAGATTGATGTTTTTGATCCAACAGGATCATCCTAGTACTTTTCTTTTACCTACGTATCCAATTCTCTCGTCGTGCATAATGTTGCATTTGGCGTGGTAATCTGATCGGCACATGTATCGCTAATAACTGAGAATAGTGTTAGAAAGAAGTGTTACTTTCTGTATAAATTAGAATAACAATTTTATTATCAATTAATTCAAGGATCACTGGATAAAACAAACATTCCAATAAAGAACGACGATTCCAGAATATTAGAAGTATATATTAAAAAGACATTTCGACCGCATTAGTGAGGTCATCTTTAGTATCTCAAAAGGCAATGTTACGAAACAATATTTTAAACAAACGTCAAGATATTAATCGTCGAATTTACATTAAGATCGAATTTACATTAAGATCGAATTTACATTAAGATCGAATTTACATCAGTATGGTTCACAAATTAAATATATATTAAACTACGCTAAACGTTGGCCAGAAAGATGCGGGATAGCTGTCGTAGAGTCGTACACAAGGTTGTGATAAGGTAGTATTTGTGGGTCAAACAAAGCGCCATTTTACCACAAGAGCAAAAGAACACCGTAGGAATGGCGAGAAAAAGAGGATGATAATGTGATCTTAAGACACATTCAATATTCTGGCCAGAGAGTGAATTCAGTGAATCCAGTTACCTTAAATCATGAAAACTGGTAGAAAATACTAATATAAGAGATGCTATTATAAACAATATAAATGTTTTAGATTACCAAAATATTATTTCAATTTGAACAAAATTTATGAGGAGATAATCCATGTTTTATAATATTTTCTGGGCCCTTTTACACGTTAGTGTCTAACTTTTCTTCTTTCTTCTCAACTTATTGGTTATTTAATTTTCTGTTTCTCAAATCCCCCACTCTGTTAATTATTAATTATTATTCTTATAAGCCACCACGTTTCCCTTTGTGATTCATCGTACTTCAAATTTCCTGTCACCTCTCTGTGTTCTTCTGTATTTGAGATCTCAATTCTCCGCTGACTTTCACTCATCAGGCCTTCATAGAGTTCCTAATTGTTGCCTCATAGAGTTTCTAATTTGGCCGGCAATGTGTCAACACTAATTGATGTTGGTACTTCTAACGTATCCATAGTTTTGGCTCTCCTACGTTGACTAGCATGTTTAACTGCTTTAAATTAATAGATCCAAAAAAAATCACCGTGAAGAACAACTTGAAGAATGCTGTGCTTGAGGTCATAGCGCTGTTCATTTGGGGGGGGGGGGCTCGGCCCCGGAGATACTACATACGAGAGGTACGGAGACGGCATTGAAAGCCGTAATTCTGTGAGAATGTTAAAATAATCACTCTCCTGACAGCAACCGAGTTGAACACACGTAAGCAATCGGTTGCGGTGAGAATACGTTTTAGCATAGACTAGGGCATTAGTTAAATGATAGTAGAAAAGATACGTATGATTAGTTTTGATAGATTGGCATTGTGCAGTGTGTGGTGATATTTTAAAGCTCTCTTTAGGATTTAGATGCATTTCAATTACTGCGGCTCTTTTTTCATTATCGGCTGTTAAGAAATAGCATAATTCGGCTTTCTTGTTTAAAATTCCATTGGCATTCCAATTTATGCGACTGTTTGTCCAACGAGAGAACGAAGTGGAGGTAAACTTTGCAACGTGGGTCGATCATCGCTGCTTGGTTGCGACACACATTCTTCCTCGGACGTAAAAACAGTAGAAAATCATATTAAGTGGCTAAAATTAGTATTAATTTACATTAAGTGGTATGTTACATGCATGATACGTGTTACTTTAAAGGAAAGCGGTAAACGAAGATGCATACCAGCGGAGAAGAACTAGTCGCGCGACTTTTCATGATGACTCCCAACGTGTTGCCAACTGTAACATTATTAATACTACCAGAGCCTCTGTCACTCTTAATATAACAGGACATTATAGACTATAAAGAATAACCAAGTTCTTAATAGCAACCACAGGTGAAAATAATTAGTGAGTGTTGAAGCTGCGTGTTAATGAGATTTGTTATTAGTGTACGTACTTATTGTCATATTATGAATAATTAGAATCGTCGCTTGAATTCTCAGTTGCATCTACTATGATGTCATTCACTGCGATTTCCATTATCCCGATTTTATACAGTATTCTTCTAATTTCATTACACAGTATAAAAAGCAAATAAAACACAATACAATAGGGAACAGCGAAAACGCGAGATTCATTCCGAAGCAATGGTAGTTAGCCCTGATAATTTTGCCGTGCCGTGCCGTGCCGTGCCGTGTGAGACCAAGGCTTGGACCAGATCATGGCGAGTCGTGCTGGTTGAGCTCTAGGCTGCTGAGACGTCAAGAAAAGGCACGTGAAAGCATTTATCCTATTTGATTTGGGCTGAATGAATAAGCGTATAAGGAACTCGCATTAAAGCGTCAGGATCATTTGATGATTTGTTTTCACCTACTTCATTCTCTCGTTGGACAGTCTATTAGTAGCTACTGTTAGCTTGTCATTGGTAATGCATCAACACAACTAACTAAAGTTATTGTTAAACGCTGACGTAATGGAATTTTGAATATTACTGGTTAAAATGATTATTGAATTTGATACGTTGATAATAGAGTTAAAGATGGAATTTACAATTGAATTGATGAGTGGGGAGGTGTGGTTGTCCGAAATGTTAGCGTTGTGGATGGGGCGTCGATGGATATTTCCATTATTTACTCGGGATGATGTATTTCTATTGTTGGCATTAAGAGGGACGGGGTTGAAGTTTGGAATATTTTCTGTGAGAGGGAAAAATGGGATTTTTTGGTTTGAGACGGTGGGAGCAATATTATTGATGTTGCTAGTTTTTCTTGTTCCTGTCTGACGTCTTTTGGTTGCTGACTCCAATACCTTACACCGTTTGCATTCATGAGAATTATCCTTTGTTGGACAATAACCAAATAATACCCTCCTGCACAAAAATACCAGCTAGGTCGGGACTACAGCACTTTCGTGCGGTGCCGAAATCAAGGAAATGAAGACATCGACCCGAAATCGTAAGTTGGTTCCTGTTTTCCGGCTTTACATATAGGTTACAGAATGTGTTAAGTTTGGAGAACGGTTTCTATGACGAGTGTTGTGATTTGAGGTCTTGATGTAATTCCTCTTGAATACGTGAACGTTCTCAAATATTACGGAGAAGTTCTTGTTCCCCCGATCTTTGTATGACTGAAAGTTCCTTTTTCAATGAGGTATTTAATGGCTTTTCTAAACTAAAAAAAGTAATAAGACAGCTCGAAACTCTGGCGGTATTCGAGGCGACTGTTCCCGACAGAGGCTCGAAGCGAAGTCATGCAACACTGATGTTTACGTTTGGATTTTCAATTTGTGTACGTAACCTCACACTACGACAGTTAACCCGCCTATGTCTTCTCGATGTTCAGAATATTTTTTATACACACTTAATTCGTGAACCATACTGATCTAAATTCGACGGATAATTTGTTTAAAGTATTGTTTTGTAACATTGCCTTTCCGGAAACTGAAGAGGCACCAATGAGGCCAAAATGTCATTAGAGTATATACTTCAAAACACTTGACTGGAATCATCGTTCTTTATTTGAAAGTTCTATTATCATTGGTGGGATTATATTGATTACTTACTATTTCTGCCAGATTATATGTTGCAAGATTTAAAGTGGTAATTTCTCAATTTATGAAGAATATCCATATGCAGGAATTTGATAGAAAGTAGGGCATACTTTTACTGCTTAATTGACCTGGTGTTATATTCAGAAGAAATATTACATTGAAAAAAACTCCATTAAAGTTCTGATCTTTAAATTGCACGAAAACATTTTGTAACGAATATTCGAAAAAAGATGAAAACGAGAATAAAAGAAAACCAACATAAAGTTTGTTTAATTTTCCCTTTTTGAATTCTTTCTTACATTATACTTTCATTTTTATTATTGTATTAATACAATAAAAAACACGTGGTTGTTTTCTTCGCAGGAGCTACAATTGCACAAAGTTGATCTCCCTGTTATATCTCTGAAGCAATGTCAAAAATGGATGAGACAAGCTACTTATCAAAGTATATGCACTTACACTGAAGGAAAGGATGCTTGTATAGTACGTACAGTTTTTGGACAGTCATTTTCAATGTTATTTAATTATACATTATTAAAGAATTACGTAATGATGGTTATTAATACGAGTGTAATACCCGAGTGAAACTTCACAAGAATGCATTACTTCCGAGGTCACCATTTTCGCTTTTTCTCTTATTTTTGGTGGCGCCAACTCCGCCTCTGATTCATTAGACATTTTAAACTAAATATTCACTCTACCTCTACCCCTGCGCTAGTCAAATATCAAAGATAAACTACGATCAATTAATTTTTATAAATTAAAACAGAAAACATTAAATGCTATTTTATGTACATAATCGAACTAAACATTTATTAGGATGATTCTCAATGATTAGTTAAGTGTCAATACTTAGATTTAGATTTATTTAGTCAAAAATATGACGTATAGGGGAGAAGATCATCTACGATCATTTTCTTGAGTTCCAGAATTCCTTCCCGTCATTTTAACTGTAAATAGTTAATGGATAAGTAAAAGTTAAAGATAAATAAAAATAGTTTAAAAAAGCACGAGATTTGCAACATTTAAAAATCTAGTCATTGCCGTCCCCGAGTTACAGACAACATATTTGCAACGGTAAACGAACTGCAGCTTTGATTTTTCTGCATTTCTAACTCACCCTCACCTCTACAACACAATATCGTAAGTAACTGTGATGGTAACTATACATTGTGGTTCAGTATATTTTTGATCACGGACGGTGAAATTGATCTTCCCCTTCTTGATGATGAGATCCGGTGCGGACCTACAGGCCAGTTTGCGTGGTTATCCCCAACAAGGTATCTCTTACCAGAGGGGCAGCGCCTCAGCCAGAACTAGCTCTAAGCTTCCCTCTGGTCCTCCGACATGTGTTAGTGTAGTGCATGTAAGTGATAGTGTAAGGACAGGACAAGAAAGAGGACGGAAAGATCGGGCGGTCCTTCACCTGTTTATTAGGGTACTGCTCACGTATTCGCCTCATGTTGATCGGAAAAAATACGGAAAGCGTTTTAGTCGATTTACAGTTAAGTATTTCAAGGAAAAGTATTGCCACTGGTATTCTAGAAGGAATAGAAGGAAACTAATGTATCAGGGTTTCAAATTACTTAAGAGAACGAACTGGCGAGTTTCTTAGAATAGGAGGAGGAATGGAAGAAATATGGGGAGCGCTTAATAATATTCTAGTAAATACAGGGAAGGCTTTTGTACCAAGTAAATTGTTAAAAACTGCGATTCGCAATATTATAATGCAAAGAGTATACGTTTTAAAAGAAAAACCAGAGAATCATTTAGTAATACACGTTTTTATCCCTGGCTAAGCAAGAAATGTTTTAGTAAATGCTCCTTTCGTATTTACACTTAAAAATCTAACTTCATGTTAGTACGTATTCGCCAAACGTAACCATTTTTGTATGACATTTTTTAAAGGAAAAGTACCCATAAATAAAACAGTGGGAACCATTTGCCGCTACTGTTAATATTAACAAGGAGAGACACAAGTAAAAATTATTTTTTTTAATTTTTGAAAGAACTAAAATAGAGAAACATGTCACTTATGTCATCTAATAGAGTGCATTTAGAACTATCCCTACCAAAAGTTTGAAGAAAAAATGTGGAGCTGTTTTTGGGGAAAAAATTAAATTGAACAATTACACGCAATACTGCGCGAAAACTACTAAACTTTTCCAAAAAAGTACACGACTTTAATGAAAGAACTCACTGTTATAAAAACATTTTATGTGAAGAAAAAATCTCTATCTTTGATTTTGTAGTTGTAGGATGACACCGCAAAAATTCAAACTTTTGAAATTTTCGTAGTTTTCTCACTTAAAAATCTCTCTAATTTCCCTTATTTCCAAAAAATTTTTGTGTTATGATTTAAACATATAATATGCAGGAAGACACTGTTGTTTTAATACTAAAGGTGTATACTTGTGAAACTTTGAAAGAACTTCGGGGTTACTTTGAAAAACTAGGTGCTAAAACAGCACAACTTTTTTCGCATTATTTGTAGCTGCTAATCAATGTATGATACAACACGGACCTGCAAAAGCGTTTCGAACCAGCAAAATTTCTCCGCGATCAGATTCGAACGCAGGTCCATCACGTCAACTGGTCATGTGGTTTACTACTATATGACACAGTCGCTTGGCCGTACAAACTTTTGCAGACGATTAAACAACCAACGGGCTGTTCCATTAGTTCTGATGCATATTTCGAAATTAGAGTGTTCAACGAAAACGAAAACTTCCACTTTTTAATCATCCTTTGCTCCATCCGTAGAAATAATTTCAAGAAAAAAATTGAAGCAGTTTTTGAGAAAAGATTCTTTTATAAATTGAATTAACATTAAGAAGAAATTACTCAAAAACTACCCGTGTTTTCAAAAAAGAGTACATTACCTTTTTCGAAGATCTTGTTTTATAGAACACATTTAACACACATCTCTGTCTTAAATATTGTACTTTTGTAAAGTCAATTTTTTGCAATTTTTAAAAACACCGAGTTTCGCGCCATTCTTTTAAGCGAACCTTCTTCTATCCGTGGAAAAGATTGTAGAAAAAACGTAGAATGGTTTTTGAGAAAAAAATGAATTTCATAAATTTCAGATACAAGTTATGCGAAACCCTCTATTATTTAAAATGTTAAACATGATCCTTTTAAAAGAGCTGATATTTTACAACAAACATTGTCTATGGCAAATATCTCTGTCAATTTGTAGCTTCAAAATATTAACATTTTGAAATTTTCGAAAAAACGGAGAGTTTGCCGAAAAAGGACCAGCAATTACGAGTATGTTTTACCGTCTATTGATGCATATGAGAAAACTTGAAGAAAAAATTGGAGCGGTTATTGAGAAAAAAGTTCGCGAGCAGTTATCTAAATATTAAAATTGTCCTTATTTACATGAAAATTTCTAATATTTTTGCAAATCTCTTCGCGATATTACTTCAATATCCATTTTTAACGTATAAAATCTTTCTTCAATATTTTAATTTGAGAATGACAATTAACTGCATTCAACCAATTACTGTATTATGAAATGTTCTAAAAATCAGGAATTTCAACTAACATAACTCTCACACCATTCTCTTAAGCGTCCTTTACGCCATCTGAGAACGATGTTTAATAAAAAAATTGTAGCCATTTCTGATACAATTTTGAACATGTTTTGGAGGTTTCAAGCAAAGTACCCTCAAAAATCAAAATATCAGTTTGGAACTCTTAAACCCTTGACTTCGTTCAGATCGTTCGGGGAATATCAATTTTGGAGAATATCTGCTGATTTGTTTTGGTGCTAGCGTTGACCACAGAGGTTTTGCCGTAAAAATCTATTTTCTCCATCAAAGGCCCACAAAACACGGTTTCTAGCTATACCACGTGTTAGATGACGTAATTTACTAAAAAAAATTTCCGCTTGCTCATTGCCAGGGGCGTCAATAAGAGTTTCTGTCAAAGATTCGTCGTTTTCCGACGCATGATTTATAACTCTATTCTTATGAAGTATGTAAAAATGAGGGAATTTGTGTCAAAATTTAAACAATTTCTTTGAACCGCTCCAATTTTCTTTAAATCTTCTCCTCGTACGTATCAAGGGACAATAAAGTTTAGGATGCTTGTTCCAAATGCAAATCTTACTGTTCTTTTGTTGTGTAGTGGTATGGCTGACGGGGACTTACCTCGAAGAACGTGAACGGTCTGAAAACAAATTTTGCGTGTTTTTGTAATAGTGTAATACGGCAGAACACTTAGAAATAGTGCGAGAGAGTCTGTGCTGTTGTAGAACCACTAGTTTAAAATTTTCTTCATGGGTAATTTAGGTGCAAATATGAATTCTATTTCACACTGTTTTGATTTATGTCTTCTTGTCTGATCCAGGGGGACTCTGGAGGCCCATTGATATGTTCTGGATACCAAGCAGGAATCACGTCTTATGGAATAGGATGTGCAGTCAAAGAAAGACCTGGGATATTTCAGAGGGCCGATATCCACGTAAGTTGGTCATTTGTTTATACATGTGCTACATAAAAATACCAATGTATGATGTATACTACAAGAGATTAAGTGCGACAAAGCCGCAATTTTCTTCTCAGATTTAAGAGTCAAATGCAAATGGGAGGGGGACGACCGACCGCAGCGCGGGTTTTTCGTTCCATCGTAAGATCTCACAGTTTCATCGTTCAGGGTTTCGTTATTGGAAAATTTCTGAATACGTGAGGATACTTTCATGTCCTTGCTTATAGAATCTTAAAAAACAATATGAATCCGTCGTCATGTTAATTGTTTCACGCAAACTTCGGCACCTCCATAAACTGGACATAAATACACTGCGATCTTCTTGTGGTATCTGTCAAGATGTAAGTTAGATATCTTACACATCTCGTTCGTACATTCTCGAGCTCGTATCTGTGGATGTGGATGAAACATCAAGCTCTTAAGTCAATTTTAAGCATATTTTGTCTATTAAACTCCTTCGAGATTTCGCTTGCTTGAGTAGGAATTTTCTTCATGTCATCGTAGCCTTTAGGGACAAAGTTTCAACTCGTGGTTTCGTAGTATGTAATGTGTTCAACAGGAGCTGGTGCATTCTAGTGTGAATAAATGTTATTGTTATTCATATGTATGTGTATGTGTATGGGTAGTCTACGAAGGATACCGCAGACCAATCCTAATCTCATTGAGTTATCCTAGGGCTCTTATTTAGCATTTAATCCAATTTTATTATTTCAATTATTATAAATGGGAGGTTAAGCATGAAACATGTAACGATGAACGTTAGTGATGATGTCAACAATAATTTCCCATTGTTAGAATGTTAATTTTGAGAATAACATTATATTCGATATGGAGAAAGATGATTGAAACAAGAGCCCTCGAAAATGACACACTTTCTACCACGAGAGTTTTCTAATCTTTTTAGCCTAGACTAGTTTTCCGGTATTGCCTCATCCTCTTCCCAGCTACTACCTATCTTATTCTCGTTGTGTTATCACAGAGCTCTTATGTAGCATTTAATCCATTCTAATTCAGTTCTCTTTGAATTATCACAATTCAATTATGACAATCCAATTATTATAAATGCGAGGTAAAAATATGAAATGTTTTGATGAACGATAGTGATGACATGAACAACAATTCTCATTCCTATTGTGTTAATTTCGAAAACTAGTGATCTGTTAAAGAGAAAGGAGATGATAGAAACACGAACTTTCGAAAAGGAAAACGGGTCGCGAGACGGAACACGTTTAATCAGAATATTTGTATCCATTTTTAAAAGGTTTTGAAAATTCATGTTAAGTACTAAAAAAAAAAAATTAAAAAAGTATCCGTTTTATATTCAAGGGGTCTAGATACAAGTCCGATCTATTGGGGAACATCAATTTTGCTAAAAATGTTGTCTACGATTTAACTGTTAGCACAACCTTTTTTCCTAAACCATTCATGTCATGGACCTATAAAGTATGGATTCTGAGTACACATAATGTTTGAGAAAGTAATTTACTACGTACATGAAATAGATTTATCCACTCTTTCCATACCAGGGTCCCACAATACGAGTTTTTAATTCGAAAAATCGCCAATTTCTGTCGCAGCATTACAATACTTTCTCTTTACTGCTTTATAAGTATGTAATAAGGCGAAAAATTAAAAATGCTGCTCTAGTGATGGACAAAGAACAATGATTGGGGGTAAAAGTGAATTTATGTTTTTCGTGTCGGTATATTTCATTTAAATTTGCCGCACCAAGGCGCTCCTGGGCGGTCTGCGCGCCTGGCAAGACATCGGAAGTTTGAAGAGTAATGTAATTAATTTTTGCGCAGATAATTATCAATTAAATTGTTATACAAGATTGCATATCTGTTTTTTGGAAACCGATTGTTGTGTGCCAGCTTAATAATACGCCAAAATATGAAAAGGAAAAAATTGCTTTTGCGTAATTAATTTGCAATTAATAGTTGTAAATAGTGGTGTATTTGGGTTTGTGGTAACTGACTGTTGTAGAGCCAGCATAGGAGAGGTCAGAGAACAATTAATCTATGGTATACCGATGACCAGGGTGTGATTGTGGTTGCTGTTGCAGCACGATTGGCTGCGCTACGAACCGGAGGACAACGAACCGGGGGGCACCGCGAAACCCAGCGCAGGCGTCCTCCTCCTGCTCCCACTGCTGCTGGCGTTTCACGCGGTCGCCTCGCGCACGTCCACTACGACCCTGTCTCTCCAATACTATTTACATTAGTCGTTTTCGGCTTCTATCGGGATTGCATTTGGTGTATGAACGATTGAATATAAAAATTGATTTTGTAACTTTTTCGTGATTTAGAGAAATAAAGTATTATAACTTTCCAAAATTATGTACAAGTGGGGATAAACAGCACATACTTTCTCCCTGTTAAGTGCAGTAGTGCCACGATAAAACATTAAAAAAATGTAAAATAAACCTGAAAATGAACGTTCAAAAGAATAAGATATACACTTTAAAATCTCCAACTAAAAGCCAAATAATTGGCAGTATTCTCTTCTTTCAGATAAGGCTGGAGACAAACTACTTATTTTTTTAAAACTAGCGGTGTTACAATAGCGCATACTTTCTCGAGTTATTGGAAAAAACTACGTAATATAGAAATATTGCATTTCCTGCACTGCTAGCACCTTAGCCAAATTTCAAAACGTTCAATTCAACCAAAAAGTGAGCAACGCACTGTTGCCAGCGCACCGTTTTCAAAACTATGTGCATTCGCTTGGACAATAATATAAATACAGTAACTAGAATATATGACTCTTCAGATACGAAAATACTATTGATTTTCAACAAAGACTATGCCCATGGTTTCTTGGAAGAGAGAGGACGATTTATCGAAAACAAATGCTACTCAACTGCTTCTCAATAGTAATGGTTTAACACGGATTCCCGCAGCCCAATCACAGCGTAGATCTTTCACGTAGACCAATCACAGCGAGGCAGGCTAAAAATTTGAGATATTTTAGGTAAAACGCTTTAAAATATCCTAAAATGGTTTAAAATGTCATAAATTTTCTAAAGAAAACTGGGAGTTTTTGAAAAATAAAGGAAGCTAACTGCTAATGCGGTCTGGAATACTCTATTCATATACTACTCAGAGGACAGGTCAATGAACAGTAGTAATTTGCGGTACTTTTATTTATTTTTTATTTAATTATTATTTGTATTTTTATTTATTTTTTATTTATTATTTATTTATTTACATCAAAAACAGTTAAAATCTGTATGATGTGCAATGGGGAGAAGTTAATTTGAAGTTATATTTATTTCCAGAAGCAAAACAAGGGACTATCTCAACATTTACTCGAGGATCAGGGAAACTGGACGAAAACCTGATCGAGAGGGGGGGGGGGGGTCATTGACCTAGATGCTGAAGTACAATACTTGTTACAGGTTCTTTACAATTGCAACATTTCTATACAATCCAAATGATATATAATACATTAAATGTCATTTAAAAAAATAATATTGCTTTCCTTTTGAATGCTCAGTATAGTCTCTAATTGTATAGAAACAGTTGTGCAGCAGAAAAGATTTTTCTTGGGACTTAAATTTTTGTATTAAATTTAATTGTTTAATGTCATCTGGCAAGATGGTGTAAAATAATGCATATGTATTATATGTGAATTTTTTGCAGTGAGCTGTTGATACTGTTACTTGATGAATGAGATTACTACGTCGAGTGTTGTAGTTATAGACAACTGCGTTTGCTGAAAATATAATCCCGCCCTCAAGCAAGTCATTTTTGACAAAAACCATTGATTCATGTAATAAGAGACAAGGTAATGGTAAATTACCTAGATTAATAAAGAGGGGCTTACAAGAATCACGTGGGTGGGATTTGCTTATTATTCGTACAATTGGTTTTTGTAATAAAAGTCTGGGAGCTATAAGATGTATTTCCCCAGAATATTATGCTACATCTCAGGCGGGAATGAACATTCGCGAAATATCCACAACGAGCAGTGTTCATTTCATTTAAATGGACGTTCCATTTAAGGTTTGACTGAATTGAAAGACCTAAACATTTTGTTACCTTATCATCAGTCAATAGTACGCCGTTCATTTTCAGTGTCTATTTGAAATGGAGAACTTCATTAAAACAGTTATCTTTTCATTTACTATTAATTTGTTATTACGAAACCACTTCGAAATATCTGATAATGTACTATTTACGGTTTGCTTATTGCAAAGAATATTTGTATCGTCCGCAAAGAGAACTGTTCTTCAGTTACTAATCGTCGAGAGCACATCGTTTACGTACTGTAGGAAGAGAATAGGGCCTAAAATTGATCCCTGCGGAACTCCACATGCAATTGGCAAAGAATCAGAAATGTGTGTACATAATGTCCCATTACTCCAGTAAGGTATTTGTACTATCTGAGATCGTTGTTTAAGGTACGAACATAACAAATCTAGAGCAAAACTACGAATTCCATACGAAGGTAATTTTGAGAGTAAAATTTTATTATCAATGACGTCAAAAGCTTTTGAAAGATCTGGAAATATTCCAATAAACTGAAAGGTACTGAACCAAGATATAAATTTTCACCTTTCATTAGCAAACACAATTCGATGGCAAAATTATAGTTCAGAAGGCATGGTGTTGTATAACATCATTATAAATTGAATACGAAGTGAAAATAGTTTTGGAGATTAGCTCCAACTTGAGACCTTCAATTGTTGGCGTGATTCATGTAACATCTCTTGACAATGAGGTTGTTTGCTTTTGTTGATGCATCTTACGAAAGAACATATGACTATTAAAACATATATATGTATGTAAATGGATCAAATGTTAAGAAACATATCTTCGAGGCTAATGTACATGAGTAACCATGTACGCTAATAACATCTAAATGGTGTGTTAGAATTACTGAAGCTAGTTTGTTTCATTTGTAAGTTGGCTCTATTCTTTGGTATAATGACTGGAATTCACTTCAAATTCCAAAGAAGGTGTGTCGTTCTGGAGTACAAAAAATGGATATCTAAACCATAGTGGAATAAGTATTGCGATTCACGAAATATTGCGAATGTTAACTTTGCGATACGTATTTTCCCCAGCTTACGTGTCGAAAATTGGCCTCTTTCCCTTCGAGTCGCAGCTTTTGGAGAAACAATGGCTGACGTCGAAAACTTTTTCACGCGACATGTCCGCGAAGATGTAGGAGAAAAAAAATGTCGGGGCGGATGTAAAAATTACGAAACGCGCGTAACGGTTAGTAAACAAGCCCCTGTATAGTGTTTTAATGAAACGGACACATCCGGAGCGCGAGCCGTGCGGTGTACAGGGAACTACCACTTGGAAGAAAGACGCGTACGGCGTTGGACGGCCGCTGGGTAAAAGCTACCTCGCAAAACCAGGAGGAATGCTGGCGAGAAACCGATAGCGTAGAGGAGATAGGAGGCTTAAATGCGTTCCCATTCTGTGGGGCACGGAAAGATTTTAGCACAAAAATGCTAGAAGTGAAGAAAGCATGCACAATCTGTAGAATAGTAATTAGTTATGGAGCGAACCAGTAAAATAATGTGACTTTATTATAAATTACGAATGGGGAGTAAAGGCATCTGGGTTTAGTTAATTACTAAACCATACTGAACCAAATTACAATATGACAACTTTCGAAGTTACGAATTGCGAAATATTGTGAAAAGACCCTTCCTTGTTATCAGGCAGGCTAATGCAACTTATTATGAAAACTTTTGTTGAGAAAGAATTTAAATTTCTGATTTTCTCGTAATAATAATATTATGTTTTATTCCCAATATGCTATGAGATTGATAAAGGTGCGTCAACTGACCCACACTAATTATTCGGAATCGCCTATCCATGCCTCCCTTTTGCAAGAACAATCACGTGTTGAAATTAGTCGAATAGAAACTTTCATGCCTTGCGCAACTGTTGATGGAAGTAATGTAAATTGCAATGGGTGGAATTTCCTGAAGAATGACATACACTTGAGTTATTCTGTGTAATATTTCTTACTTCTTTTACTCAGCGGCGGTCGGATATCTATTCTGAAAAGTGTCGTTCGCAAACAGAAGTTTCAGAACCACGAATACCAACTTACAACTATAGCCAAACAATAAGTTATAAATTGTGGCTAGATTATTTCCCTGACATCTCTCTTAGAATATTTTACAGATGCATTTCATTTAGCGTGAAATAAATAAAATAATTACACTATTCAATTATTGCAGAGTAGCATTAAGGAAATTAGCACTAAGGAAAATAAACTGGCTTTATGCTTAATATCTTAACATTAGCATATTATTCTCAGCGCAACATGTAAAAAAAGAAAAAAATATGCAAAAGAAAGATGGTGCTACTTAGAAATCGTAAAAAAGGATAAAATTGAGATAGAAAAAATTAATTTGTGCAAAAAATTACAATCAGTGAATGAGAGCTAGATAGCTAGCCCACCCCTTACTTAGACTCATACACACACACACATGCACTACATTTCAACGTATGTCCGGAGACCATTGAGGAGCTCGAAGTTTCTCCCGACTGGGGCAGTGCCCCGCTGGCGAGAGATCCCAGGTAGGGAAAACCCGACAGCCCACGCGCAGATCGGCAATCCGATATTTACAACATGTAACAAGAATAGCCAAAGTTACATTATGGTAACAGTTAACATCTATCAGATAGGCAATTAAAATTCAAATGCAAAATTGTAATTCTTCACAATGTAAACATATCAATACTTTTAAACCAATTATACGAGTATAACAAATATTATAAAACAAATATATTTGAAACATTTGTTGAATTGCGAAACATTTATATCAGATTTTGGGTAGTCCCAACTGTTTTTAAATAAACACTTTGAAAATCCAAACATTGATAGCTTCTTCAAATATAATGTAACGGTACGAGCTGCCGCGAATTCGATGTAGAATTTCCGTTAATAAGATCGCGGACGCTCAGCGATGCCACAGCTGCATTGGAGGTCGTAGATATCTGGCCCCTGTCCCTTCGGCTCTATTAAGGCGAGGAATACTTTATGACATTTTATGACAGACCACCCCCAGCGCAGGAGTTGGTTGGAAACGGACATTTTTGGCTGTTAGGAAGGATCCCCCGTCATTATTCAAAGCCCCGCCCCACCGTGCTCCGCGAAATACAATCTCGCGCGTATCGGGAGGATTCTCACTGGAGGAGGAGATACCAAGCCTTCATGATTCGGGAGAGCCGCTCTCACACTCACACACTC